ATGACATTCTCTCTTCCTAATCACTAAAACATTTTGCAGGTTCTACTTGTAAGTCCACAAGTACAAAAGCCGCAGTCATACGTCTTGACAACTGCATTTTATACTTTATTTTAAAACTTTTATTTTTCTTCTTGTCTCAACGCTTTAAAGGGAGCTGGTTGTATGTGTTTTTTTTCTGTTTATTTTTTTTTAAAGTGAACAAAAAAAAAAGTTTTTGACATAACATTGGGATTTATGTCATTTTTTTTTTCGTTACTGTTTATTTTATGTGTGTAATACTATACTTGAGAGTCGCAAGATATTATTCACCCCCTGTTGCGGTAGAGTAAAATTAAAATCAGATATCTATTTTAAAGTCTTAAGCAATAAAATAAGCAAAATATTTTGCTAAAAATTGAAGCTCTAGTTGTTAGGCTTTAACAAGTAGTGTAATTTGACCTGTGCTGTAGACGTGCATGGACCAAGCTGTCTTATAGAATTCTGGTTCAATGACATGACCATCCATGATGTGTGATTAACTGTACCGCACAGGGGGAGCTAAAGTTGGACGTTTCTTTTCTTGGCATTTAACAAAGAGGGTTGACTGAAGCAATTAGTGATCACAGTTACCTAATTGTATTTTGATTTCTTTTTTATGCGTTTAGTCTCTGTGAAATAATTTATGTAAAATTAATACCCTTGTACAGAAAATGAACCACAGGTGTTGGTTCTTCAGAAAAATTTTGGAAACTCAAAAAGAGATGTTAAATTAACCCGGACTGCGGCTTCAACAAGCTTATTTGATCCACTTCTTGTATGGTCATGATTATTGATAACTTACTTCAGTATCTGGGCACATATTTTTTTTTTCTTTGTTTTCTTTATTTCAAATAATGAAGAAGAGGATAAGTTAGGTATTTTAAAGAAGAGTTAATCTTGTGTTAAACGTCCAACCAGCTCCCCCACGTGTTGAACATTAGAGAGAAATGAATATTTAGTTTGTCATGACGTGTGCTGTGCGTGTGTGTCCATTTCAGCCTTCCTGCATGGCGTGTCCTGTCCCTCAAAACATATATTGGTCACTCTCTGCTGTGTATTCAAAAATGCATTTACTAACAATTGGCAAGCTCCTCTTTAACCTGTATTTGAATTCAACATGGCATATGTTGAATCATTACATATGTTGTATAAACAAATACCACTAATCCAACATATTTATTTCCGGAAAACTTTGACTGGCCAGCCATGAAGATTGTGTTTCCTGAAGGTATCTGGGTAATATAAAGTTTGTAGGCAACATCTTGTCCTAAGTGGCCAGTACTTGCAAGGTAATGAAAAGGTTTTGTTCTGCCAACCAGAGCTCACATGGATTTACTTCACTTTGTCTTTGCTTGATCATTGTATTGTTCTTGCTACCTACTATGGTTAAAACTTCATCTTTTTTTTTTTTTCCATGATTTATTTCATATGAAAAAAAAAGTATTTTTGTTTTTAAACTTGTAAAGATCAGAGATCTATTAGTCCCTCCCTATTGTTTTGTTTTTGTAGTGCATCTGCATAGAACTTTTGTTTTTAGTATTTTGGTTTTATTTATTTATTTGTGTTTGGTTTCTAAAGAAGAAAAAAAAAAGTCTAGAAATTGTTGTAGTATCTTGTGCTAATCCTGAAGGTTTAAATGCATAGTGGCATCCCTTGTTTATGTTCAAGTCATTGTCTTGCTTGTGTCATTCATTTATATCTCATAGATGTGTAGTGTGTTGAACAAAACGACTACAATGGCAGCTTAAACTGTTCTATTATCAAAACAAACATTTGCTTAGCACAAGTTCCTGACTTCACTAAAATCTACTAACTAAACTGTAGAAATGTGAATATATATATACGTACACTGGAATGGCAGTCTTATTGTAGACAATGTTTGTTTAGAATTAGACTGAGCTTTTACCAGATAGTTGGAAGTGAGTCTCACACATAGGCTGGAGTAGATGTACCACCGAGGCTTTTTAACATCTTGACTTTTTGCTTTCTATAGCCCGAGTCATAGTTTCTAATTTTGTTTTGCTTGTACTAGTTGCATGACTGGCATAGTCATTCATGTGACCAGAACTTTGTCGTCTGTCTCTTAGGTTGAAATTTCCCTTTTTACAGAGAAAATAAAATGATAAATATTGTTTTACACTTTCTTAAGATTCATTATCCTACTAGCACTCTTAACAAGAGATGGTTTATACTCTTATTTTTTTATTTTTTTTAAAGTGTGTTATTTTAGTGGTGAGAATAATTTGGGTGGTTACTCAGTATCTTTAGTTTTGTGTTTTAAGTACAAGTTTTGTCTGTAATTGTTTTGAGGTCCTATTTTTTTCTTTATTAGTTTAGTTGTTTACTTGATTAATATTAGCTCTTAGGTAAACAAAAAAAAAAAAAGTTATATTATTGATGTATACTAATTAGATTATATCTGTTGCTAATTTAAATGTTGTTTATCTGCTAAAGCTTGAGTGAAAATCAATCTCTACTCCTGATGCCACCCTGGACAAACAAATGGTTGCTCGGTGCCATCTGTCTTTCCATGTGCCTGCATTTCTTCATTCTCTATGTGGATGTCATGTCTGTAAGTAGCCTTTTATCTTCAAGACATAATCATTGAATCTTGTTCGTCGACAGAAGCCACAGAGCTTATCAGGCTAGCAAGCAACACATTCTTGTAGAATTAAAACCAAGTAAAGGCAATATAACAAAAGTTAAGGATTTGTGAATACAAAAGTTAGAACATGTGAGCTGAAATGTCATTTTACCAACTGCTCCTGCAATTGAGCTGAACAGACTGATGCAACGGCTACTTTTTTCTTTTCTGAAAGTCAAAAATACAATTTTTAAAATCAACAATGCAAGCAGTTTTTTCATAAAAATACACAATTTTTTACAACTATTCACTAATTATAGTATTTTCAACACATTTATGCAAATGGTTTTAGATTTTTTGTCAAAATTATTTTTTTTTAAATGTATTGCTAAGTTTAAAAAGTTCTTTCATACTAACTACTGTTTACAAAAAAAATGTTTACCTTTTTTTTTTAAAGAGAAAAAATCTATACAGTACCAGTATGCATATAAGTGGAACATAATTTAAATTAATAAGTAGTTTTTCATATTTTGTGAACAGTATGGCACCATTACTATGAAACAGTGAACTAAAGGAAAATAATGAATTTTTTTTCTTTAATGGAAATTTTTTTTTCTTGAGTTCTGAATAAGAGATAGACCCTTTACAAAAAAATTAGATTGTTTAGGAGAAGGAAAAGTCAGAATCCAAACCTCTGCTGCCTTGCGGCTATACCCAAACACGGGAAAGGCTTCGGGAGACAACCCTGAGGAAAAATCAGGAGCTGGTGACCCTTAGGCAGATTGCGGCACACTGGCAGAACCTGCGGCGCTACTGATCCTAAACTGTAATGGATATTCCGTTCCTTTGGTCACATCAGCTGCGTGGAGAGGGGGGAACTGCTGTGTGGGCGATTGTTCCGAACATAAACAATGCCTAGGCTTTCATCTCGCTTTTTCGAGATGAACCATAGTCGTTCTACAACTGAAGGAGGCCAATGAATAAGATCATTTAGATTTAGATTAGAGCTGTATTTAAATATTTGCTTGTCTTCAAAACTTCCATTATTGTTCTTCATTAAATAATGACCACCTCAATGGTGACAGTTTTGTTTATCATGTTGATGTGTGTTCATGTACATTTTAAAACTTGTACTTTGTTATGTTGCAGGTGATCTTTCAAATTACTCCACTCAACCTGGAAGAGTGGGTTGCTGTGATGAAGATATCCATCCCTGTCATCCTCCTCGATGAGACTCTCAAGTTTGTAGCTCGCAAATTTGCTGACGGTAAAAATCCACTGTACTCGTGTCATTGGTGTGTGTTGGTCTTGGGGGCTTATACTGGCTGGCTGTATTTGACCATGATAAACCCTAGTGCACTCTAACTGCCCCAACACCATTGATTCACACTGAGGTTTCATGGTTGCTACCATTGATTGACTCAATAAGCTAAACATAGTGGTTTGGCATACCAAATGTTAAGCTGTTCCCTTTGTGGGACTTAAATGAATTACTTGTTAGCCTTTCCTAGTGAAATATGTGAATAGCCAAATGGAATGACTCAGAAATTGTAGTGAAATCACTGAATGGATACTTAGAAGGAGTGTGAAATGACATGTCCTTATTTATAGCCAATTGGATTTGGTTTTCCTTATGGTTGCTTCTTTGATAAATGTGTTTGTTTGGTTCTTTTTTTTTTTTAATACAATGTTTTTATTGGAATGAATAACTCTGATCTTAATTATGTTAAAAGCAATTTTATTTTTTTAATGTTACATCTAAATTTGTCACACACACCCAAAAATGTGTGGCATTCTTCATCTCACCAGTGACTGACATTTAAATAGATTTATCTAGTCCTTAGAAATAACTTGTAGTGCTCTTCAGATGAATTGCTGTGTACAGTCACCTTCTTCTGATGGGCCAGACTTGCATGACATTGACTTTTGTTTTGTTTTTTTGGCTTGTTTTGTAATTTTAAAAAAATTTTTTTTTTTTGAAATTTTGACCTGAACCCAGATTGATGGAATCTCCTTCTTCTTTCTTTCCCTAACATTAGGGGTCAACTTTTGAAAGATAGAATAGTTTCATGAAGGAGCTAGCTTTACTCTGCCCACGTTTTCATTTATTGATCTTTCTGCCAGTTTAGCTTTTTTTTTTTTTATGTTCTTTGCTCTCCCAATGCTTATAATTGAGACAGTACAAGATTTGAGAGCAACAGAAAAATGCCATCTGTCTTTACAGTTTGTTTTGTGTTTCACAACTTTGAATACATAATTTGTTTGTTTAGTTCTGTCCCTGACGTCACTGTTGAGAACTATGATATTGTTTTAGTGGACTAAATGTAAACATATAAAGGAATCACTGAAGTATTATGCATCACAACTGACATCATTCCATTATTTGTAGATGAAAATACTTCTTTTTTTTTTCTTTAAACCACTTTTTTTTTTTTTTTCTGGAAGGCCAATCTTTTTTTTTAAAAGTCATTTAACATCAGTTTGTTTTTCTCTTAATGTAATAATTCTGATGCCCTTTTTAATACATTTCTTGATATTTGTCTTTGACATTTCTCTTTTAACATTTGTCTACAGTTGTATAATTCTATGGATGATTCTTTAAAAAGTTATAATAAAACAACCATTTTTATCAAATATACTTGAAAATAAAAATAACTTGAAAATTGATTTAATGTTTTTTTGAATGATGCTGGCCATTCCATACTTTGAAGCAACATTGAATGTTGCATGAACTATGTTCTTCATTTGAGAAGACACAGTTACATGACGGAATCATTTCAGGACTAGAACACAACACACACACACACAACACCTTAAGATCTATAAGCTTTTTTTGTTTTTGGTCACCAATCTATTAGTATGAATGTTAGATCCTAGTTAGCAATAACATTGACCTTGTTGATTCAACTTGACATTCAAAATCAAAGTTGTTTGTGCATTCTGTGCTCCTGCATTGATTCCATTTTTTTTTTATGTTTGTGAAAATTTGAAAGCAAGTTTTAGGACATGTATTCCTGTCTGATCATCATCTGTATGTTTGGCATGTTCAGTGATTTGACCTAGTTCCCAGGGCATTAGTCTGCACCTATGTAATATAACTTGAATACAAGCAACTGACAACACATGAGGAAACAAGTCTTATTTAACTGTTCAACTGTTGGACTTGAATGCTCACAAACATTTGTGTCCAACTGATGGACCAAGTCAGACAAAAGTTGTGCATGCCAAACACACACACAATAAATTGATTCAACTGAATTGTATGTGTGTGTAGATTTAGTGCTAAGACTATTGTCCATGTTTTTTTTATATTAAAACTAATTCCATTTTGTTTAAACATATTCATTATGTATGGAGTTTTTCAATGGTTTAGAAAAGAAACAAAAACAGTACAACAGCTTGGTTTTTAGTTGCATTAACAATAGTGTCATTGCATAGGTTAATGCCATTGATTTAACCTTCAGAGTGTTGTCTAGAATAGTTTGGCTTTAGCTCAGTACCTGCTCTTGATTTACCTTAGAAACCTTCCCACCTTGCTCATGAGTAAATTGTTTTTCAAAATTAGAATACATTCCACCATAACTAAGCCATTTTAATTGTCAACATTTTTTTTTGTTTGCTTATGTCAATTTTCAAAAACCTTTTTTATTTTTCAATTACAAATAACAATTATTCATTTCTATTTTTAATAATCACACTTGAAGGATTTTCAAAAGCCCAGTTAGGATAAAAATCATAATTGTGACCAAATTTCTTGAGTGAGGGAGAATTTAAAAAAATGTTTTAAATTTCATTATTCATTGTATGTGTATGTACTCTGATCTTAAAAGTTTGGATTAAACAGTTTTTTTCACTTATGTCAAGACTGAAACTATTTATATATTGATGTTATTTTTTTTTAATATGTTTTTTGTCTCACTTCATTCTGTGGGAACATTTCTAAGTGTTTTTTTTTAAACTGCAATTATTTAATGAAAAACAAAAGACAGGCCACAATTTACTTAAAAGATCACAATAGAAATATTTGTCTTGCATTTGAATTGTGCTTTATTTTGACTCAACGATTGAAAATAAAATGTCTTTTTAAAAAAATTGCTTGGAGTGTCTTCAAGTTGACCTTTTCCCTACCTCCATGACCCACGCTGCTGATGTGTATGTGTGTACTTAGATAGATGTGTGAGATCCCGGTATTACTAACATAATGTAAAAATAGTCTGATTAGTCTAACAATAGTGTTTGTATCAATAAATGTTTAGAAACATGGGGGAAAAAAAACTCTGATTGACAACAATAGTGTTTGTATCAATAAATGTTTAGAAACATGGAAAAAAAACAACTGATTGACAACTTAGTAAAATATATGTCAGTAATCTGGTAAAGATTGTCTGGTTGGACAAATAATAAGAATTATGGATTTTGACCTATGTATACACAGTTTTAGAAAATCTACTTTCCAAAGTAGTGATACCAATGCAGTATTAGAAAGTCTGGTACTGCAAGGCATGGTGGAACATCAGCAACAACCAATCATCCTACTGAGTGTTTTTACAAACCTTAATGTCCTAGAAATCAAATGTAATAATGCAAATAACAGATTACACAGAAAACACTTGCTCCAAACAAAATATAACCTACAAACTTGGCATGAAGCTATGAGATCATGCATTTCAACAGAACACATCTTAGTCAAGTGATTAGAATTGCCAAATTAGTCACATTCTTCTGTTTGTTGTGAATTGTAAATATTTCAAGTAACGTCTCACAGTTTGATTTTTTTAAAATTGAATGCTGCCCTAATAATAATTGACTGATTGAACAATACAGTGGAATTGAAGGATGACAAATTAAGCATTTTTGTGCACTTTGGATGCTTTAGTTTGTTGATAATATGGAATGAATTACAAAACTATTATGTTGTTTTTTTTTTGTTGTTTGTTTTTGTTTGGTTTTTGTTTAGTTTGAAATTGCTATGTAGATGTTTTGTGTGTTTGACCCCTTCTTTTTCCTATTTTTTTTTGCCACAGTTAAATCTTAGCTTGCAGCATCAAGTTTTGTGAAGGTAACCATTCTAACAATATTACCTTTTTTTTTTGTATCTCTAAAAGCCATTAGTTTTATAACATTTTGATTTCTTTTCAAGCAAGACACATGGAAGCTTTCCTTTTGACAAGTGTAGCTTCATTAATTTCATTCTTGTATATTTATTCTTCATTTTTTTTTTTATGGGCCTGCCAACTATACTTTTTTTTTTACATTACTTAATTCTACTAGAGTTAAAACTTGAAAATGAGTTACAATGTATAAAAAAAACAAAAACCAACACAAAAAGGCTTTTTTTTACGTTAAATTTTTTTTTTGGGGGGGGGGGGGGGGGGGTAACTTAAGCATTCTAGTTAGAAATATGATGGTTTTCAAAAATAAAAACAGTACAGGAAAAAAAAACTAATTTTAAAAGGTTACATAAAAAGACTGTTAAATGTACAAAAAGTCATCCTCATTACTATCTTATAGAGTTTTAGTATTATAAGAAATAATGTAGTTAATTTCAGAACAAGACTCTTATTGGTTATCAAAAGAAGAATCACCAAATAATCCATCAGAGTGCAAGAAAATAAGGAGTTACACTATAAAACTTAATAAAAAAAAAGTTTTCACAGTTGGCAGACCTTGTTTTTAATAGGCATTAGCAATGTCACATAAGTACTTTTTTTTTTGTTTACTTTGCATAATTTTTTTTTTCCTGACTTCATAACCTCCAACCTCTTGGTCCTGGTTACATTCTAATTTAAACACACTCTAGTCATGATGACCTTCTTGCTTTTGTTTCCTGCATGTTTGTTTTGCCCCCTATAACTGGGTAAATGGCTAACAAGTATTACAAATTTACAATCTGGCTAAATCCATGCAGATGTATCTACACCACCAAATATTGACATCACAAAACATATAAATCTAGACCTTGGTAATGCACCACTGTTCACTAGATACATAAGACATTCATTCTATGTTGGAGTTGAATAGTGTTTTTATAATTGTGTGTGTTTAAGTGTTGTGAAGTCATCATGACAGAACATAAACTTTGATTGTCCTACTCATGACACATTTCATCATGCTTTTTGTCCACAAATGTTTTATTGACTTATTGCTGTGTCCAACACTTGTGTAGTCACACATTCAATTCTCAGTGAATGATGTTATGTTTTCAATATTGAAAGTAATAATTCTGTGAATCTAACTTTGAGCTCTTCTTGCCGTAGAAACTAATGTAAGCTTTGTACTAATTTATATTATCACATTTCCTCTGTTAACAACAAATATTTCAATCATCAATGAACTCGGTAATATTTATATATTAATTTGGTGTAGTAGGCAATACACCACTGACATTAAAATTCTTTGAGATTCATTCTAACTCATTAAGTTGATTTATGAGTCTCATTAAGTTGACTTATGAAGTCTAATTAAGCTGACTTATGAAGCCTTATTAAGTTGACTAATGAAGTTTTATTAAGTTAACTTATGAAGTCTATAATTTAAAGAGAATTGCTAGAGCTCATTGTTTTACTGGCACCATAATTTGACAATTTTATTTGTATTGTTACTATTTTTATTTGGTTAGCTCAAATCCCCCACCTTTATCTTGTGTAAAGAGTTGCACTAGTTGAGATTGCAGTGTCTGTGTGCTTGCTGACTTTCTGCCTTTGACATGTTTTATTTACTCTTGGCATTGCTTCAATATTTTTGTTTGCAATACAATCTGGCAGCATACACCAGTACAAAGTAATTTTACACCAGTTGCAAGTAATTGAAAATTGATTTTAAAAAATGATATATTCAATTACATCAAAGTATGAAGCTGGATGCAATGCTAAAAGATTGAAAACAAGAATATTTGCTCAGCTGCAGCTGTCTGCCCAGACATTTATGCAGGCCTTCCCTAAATAACCCAAAGTGGAAAAATATTTGCATTGAACTTCAAAACTTAGAGAATATTTTTTGTGTCAAGAAAAATTATAGGCACTCCTGATAGTAGATGTATAGAATATATAAACTACTGGTACCGGTAATTATAGTTTCAATTATGTACAGACGTATATAAGACCAATATAAATTTCCCTGCTAGAAAAATAAAATCCAATCAGCTGACTTATTAATGTATGAATAGTGCAGGGAGCTAACTGATTATCAAAGACTTCAGTGTGTACAGATTTGTTCTCAGAGTTGAACAACTTTTCTGCTTCCATTTCCTCTGTGAGTTCATTCTTTTATTAGTGTACACTTTTGGTCTATCTCTTGTACCCTGGCTCTAGTCTACAGCCTCCCCCAGACTACAGTGGTGATGGATAAGCTTGCAACCTTCCCTCTTTGCCCACCCCTTCACGTTGTCTGTCTTCAACCTCCCTTCCCCTGGCTTGCTCTTTATTTCTAACTCCTCCCAGAAGTGGTCATCTTAGATACCATTCATCTTCCAGTCACACATTTGTACTAACAAAGTATGTTGCTGGCCACAGCACTTCCTGCGGATGGTGATCGTCTTTTATCCATCCTACTTTCAGATTACCCAGGATTCTTTTGAGGAAGGAAACAACAGGAAGTGAACACAAGTGGTCTCTCAAGATTTTCAAAACAATTTTTTTTAATTCTATGATCAGACTTTGTAGTGAAAAAAAAAATTATTTTGGACAAAAAAAATAGCTGATAAAAATTTTATAAGATAATAGAAGGTAACATTGAAATTAGAAACTTAGTCAAGAAAGTTAGATTTGCTGTACTATGCTTCGACACTGTGAAACATGGTCAGCTTGTTGTATGGGGTAACCCAGCACTCTTACAGTGCCTTTCACCCATCCCTTCTTGATCCCACCCTAAAAATAAGGTCCTTGCTGTTGCTGCTGCGGGCGCTGCTGCAAGTGCTGCTGCAATGCCGTGTGTGCGCTGAAGTTGAGAGAGAAAATAGTACAGATTGAAGGCAGTGGTCTGGCTCCACCACCAACCCCCCTCCACATGATCAGGTTCTGTGCTGTATTTACTTCTCTCCCAGCAGAATCAAGGCTTTTTTTTTAATATTGAACATTTTTTATTTTAGAGTAGAGAAAAGTGCATAGCAATCAACCATTGTGGGTTTTGTTTTTTTATATCAATGTGTGTGTGTGTAATGTAGTTTTAAAATGAGCTGTTTGGGTTACATGCAGTGAATACGAGGAAATATGCCAGGGATTGCCTACCAAATATATTTCGTGAATGTTAATAAAGCGCTAAAGTAACTAAGATTAAGTGTGTTTTTTTAATTATTATTATTCTGACAAAGAATTCATATTACCAAGTAGTCTCTTAGAATAGTTCAAGGTTTAAGAATGGTCCATTTGTTGAGGTAACTTTTAAGATATACATTCGCACAGATGGATACTCCAATACGTAATATGATATTTTTGCCCAGTAGAGTTTATTCAAAACTTTTGTTTGTTTGCTAGGTAAAATAAGATATTGGCAAAAAAATATAATTATATTGTTCTAAAAAGCTGTCCCTCTGATAAAAACAAAGAATAAAACTTTATTCTTTGAAGACAGCTAAAAATAATCAAAATGCATAATGCGTTGTTTTTTTTTTTTTGTTGGTACTTTGCATATGTTATGGCTGGTTTCAACAAAAACAGTAGCTATGCTTCATATGCTTAAAAATGTGATTTGAACCGAGAAAGTATTTTGCCCATAAAAAAAAAGTTTCACAATGCTTCAGCATGTCTCGTAGAAATTGTATTTGATGTATTCACAATTTTTTATGCCAAACATTTGCACTTTTTCTTTCCTCGCGTTTTTCCAGTGCCGGTTTTAAAGGATGAAACTTACAGAAGGTACAACTAAAACAGACTATTGTCTTCTTTACATGTAGCCCTCATGGACAAGTCCTGGTTCTAGTTGTTATAAGTGTCAGTGAGCAGAGGAGAAAAATTGTTGGCATTTTTTTTATATCAGGGTCAGTGTTAAAGTTTATATTTTTGAACTCCCACATATACAAAGTGAATGCTGTGTATATTGATAATTTTTTTTACATATAGATCTACTTTTACTTTGACCTTTTATCTTTTGTTTAAAATGATGTCAAGACTAAATTAAAATTTACTTAATGAAAGAGAAATTTCTTAGACATCACAGGAAATTCACTGAAAACTATCTGCTATTTGATTCTATTACCAGCAGTGCCATTAATAACAATGATTAAACGAAGGAATGAAACATTGTGAGTTTAATGCTGAATGTGAAATTAGCCTGTTACATGATCACAAAGAACGTATTGCCATAATGAAAGTTGACTGTATTTTTTTTTTATTATTTTTTTTTGGCCTGTGTGTGATACAATACATGGAATATTCTTCAATCTTAGCGTCCATCATCATACGTTACATTGTCAGCTGACATCAACTTGAGCCCCTCAGTCATGTTCATGTTTGCAAAATTTGATGTAGAAAATATTTTTTTTTTACATTTCTTAAAAGTTTTTTTTTATCTATTTAAATTAAAAATGTTCTTTTAAACGACATTTTTTTTCTTCGTTTAATTATTATTTTCAATTTTTAAAAAATGCAAAATCAAGAAAATGTGTGTGCGTTTTTTGTTGTTGTTTTTAACATGTTGAATGGCATTAGTTTTGAAACTTTGATAATTTTGATAGAATTGAATGTATTTTGGCAGCAGCAAAGATCTGCTATGTAGATGCTTTCACTTGAGTAAGCCCCATGTCTACTGGTTGATGTAACTAGTCAAAGAGAACGCTGTGAGATAGAGTTGTTCACCTGTTCACACTTAACTTAGCAGTGTATTGGTTTATTTCTTTGCACCCCTACACCTCCATTCAACTGCCTGGTTATGGACATATTTAAAGAAGGTACACAAAAAAATCTACCACCTTAATTTATCAAATAGTAATAAGGTATAAAGTCTTCTGCTTTGCATGTCATGTCCTGACATGAATCTCTGGAGGCTTTATGCCCCATACTAAAAAATTATTTTAAAACAAAAAACACACTCAGTGGAATATCAGTAATTATGGTCAGTTGTCAAGTGGCTCAGAGTATCCACTGTGGTTAGACCCGAATGTAAAGACAATGGTTTTGTCTAAACTCAGTATTTTTTTGTTTGTGATAGCTGTTTCGATGGATATCTCTTGTAAGTTATTTCTTTTGTCCAGTGGCTATTCAATATGCCTGTTGTTGCAATGTTATTCACTGGATAAGAGATAACACCAGCATACCATGATTTGGAATCAATCCATCCAATGAAATTTTTAAGATTTCAGATCCAACTTGTAAATAGCAAATTTCTTTATTTCAACCATCCTTGTTTCATTTCTTAGAAAGCACCTACTTTGATCAGACATTTTTGTGGTGAGCTTAAATTTCTTTGGCTTTGAAATGATTGATTAATAATTCATTTTTTTTAAATAGAACATTTGTTTGTCAATGTAACACAGAGGATATGAAGAACTTTTGTCCTTGGCATTAGAGTTGAATTGACACCTGAGATGTCGGTACTGTTGATATACACAAAATGTTTGCATTGTTTATGAATTCAAGCCATTGGTGAAAAATTGTGAAATGTTTTATTTCAATCCATGCGCAGATCTGATATCAGGATGAGTTCTTAATTTATTGAGACATATTTATTCAATCTTTATGTGCACTTGAAACTGTGTATGTGTGAGTCACAGAGTTGAGGTAAAAGTTGCCATGAACAAGTAACATCTCAACTGAGAAACTGAGAACTTTTTTGACTGGTGAGGTGGACTTGCTCCCTCCCCCCCCCCCCCCCCCCCCCACCCCAGTAACATGTAGTAGTCGTTTTTTCTGTGTGTGTTTCTTACTGAATGCCATCGTCAAAAGTAGTTAGGTGAATCAACTTTTTTTTTCTCTCTTTAGCTGTTATTTATGACATGAATTTTAAAATTTTTAACTTTTTTTTTTAAATCTTTGTTCAGACTTTCCCTTTCTTCCCTCCACCTTTTTGGTGATTCATGTAGATTTTGATCTATCACAATTGTACCCACATATGTGTGGTCATATATTATATTATTTAAATAAAAATAACAAAATCTTACTTTTTGTTTTGTTATGTCTTTGTGTCTTTTAGTAGCTTTTGTCTTGTCAGGTAGGGGATGGGAGGAAAACAGATAATACTTGTTCCTCTTTCAGAGGTAGGATTTAGTAGTTATTGGGAACTCATTTTTAAGGCCTGGAGTTGACAAGATTATCTTGTTTGTTGCTTGCACAATGACCAATTGCCTTTACTTTCCTCAAGTGATGTCCCCTTCTTATTTGAGCTGAGTGTACTTCAGTGATGCCCTAGACATTCAGAATTAAAGAGATCCTATTTGAATTTGAAAACCCTTCAGTTTGAAGCCAAGCACCCTACCATTCTGCATTCACATCCATTTATTTGCTCATGGTTTAAATTAAAATGTAAAAACGCTCATGGTAGCATATCTCACAAAATATATTACATTATACTAGTGCCATTGATGAAATTGTTACCACTTAATTGTAGTTATAGAACTATGGAACACGTCTATGGTTTGAAATTTGTCAGTCATTGGGTGATAGTCATGTATGAATGCATAGATAGATCAAGTAACCTGAAGTCTTCTAAAAAAAATGTTAATAGTCTGAAGTTTGACTTGGCAAGCAAGATTAATATGGCAAAACAGAAATAAGCTATAAAGAACCTGCTATGGAACTGTTATTTAATACAGATTGTACATGTTTTATTTTGATTTAAATTGAATCTCACTTGGTTATTTGTAATGTATTATTTATGTGGCTTCTGTGGCTACTTGTCTAGGAAATCAGTACTCCAAGATCTCTATCTTATCTTGAAGCTTATGAGAAAAGTATTTTTGTCTACATTTTAAAATTATATTTTAAACATTGTCCATCTAATGCAATTTTATAAGTTTAGGGTGATAGACATTTTCACCAAAAATGGAATTCCTGCCTATCAGGTAGCTGCATAGATTTTGTTCAGAAAAACTTAATGCAATAGGAAGCCTTTATTTACACAAATTTTGAATATTAATTTGTTTTTAAGTTGAAATCTTCTTGCTGGTAAATATTGTGATAAACAGAAATAATCAATTTCTTATATACCTTTATACCCTATATACCTTTGCCTAATCCAATTTGTCAATTGGTTGGCTGCCTGGCCGTGTGACAATCATCATAATGGTCCGCAATTTCAACTCTGCCAAAGGATATATGAGTCTTCATTTCTGAAAAATGCCATAAACTAGCCATACAAAACTTGCTCATTGAACATTAAATAAATAAGAAAAGATTTTGCTCAAGAAATGATTTAATTTATTAATGTTTTATAAAATTTGCATAAATATAAAGTAATATGAAAAAAAAACAGAATTTTAAACAAGCATTGAGGATACAGTCTAGTGATAGATGATTTTGTCTTCACAGCTCAAGCATTAGTTTTGTATGTACACATCTATTAACATTTTCTAATTCAACACTCATCAACATCACATTTACTAGGCATATCAACGCTCATCAACCATCACATTTTTATGTAAATTGAACAAAACATGCAATATTTGTTTGTTTGCAGCCTTTCTCTTGCAACACTTGCACAGACTGGAGGACCAGAGATCTAAGCAGAAATGCATTAACAACACATTTTGATATTCTACAGAATAAGATACAGAAAACACTTCCCTAATATGTCACATGTGAAAATAAAAAACCATAGGTTAGCACCCTAAAACAAAAATAGTTTTTCCACAACCATTGAAAACAAATTTACAAATGCAAATGTTTTGTTTTTATAAATATCATCCAGCTCTGTTGAATTAGGCAAAACATTATGAGGACACAATACAGTCAATAGTATACATGAAGAGAGAGTTGTTAAAGAGTTGAATGGTCAGTTGAGAAGGGGAAAAGATGGGAAGTAGTGTATTGGCAGTGTGATATCTGTATACCTGGGATTGTACAGTGTGATATCTGTATACCTGGGATTGTACAGTGTGATATCTGTATACCTGGGATTGTACAGTGTGATATCTGTATACCTGGGAGTGTACTGTGTGATATCTGTATACCTGGGAGTGTACTGTGTGATGTCTGTATACCTGGGATTGTACAGTGTGATATCTGTATACCTGGGATTGTACAGTGTGATATCTGTATACCAGTACTTGGGATTGTAGTTTTATGTACCGGTACCTACCAATAGTGATGTTTTCAATTATGTGTACCAGTATCTTACTAGTTTGCTTTTTTTTCTTTCTCTTGAGTACTGGTAGTCCATTTTCATTATTATTTTACTAGTGTTTTTCCCAATTATCAACAAAATTTTGATTAATAACTTTAATAATTGCATTTGTTTTAATCTAGTTTTATTATACTGGTATATTTCAACCTCAGGCTCAGTTGAAAGGAATGGGTTTTGTAGACTTTCAGTTAAAATTTACTCTGAAGTGAAGGCTTTACTTACATGAAGAGCTCTATGAGATAACCAGTCATTGTGCCACTGAGAGTAGCCAATAATGACAACATAATATTCTATAAGAGGACCTCCAGCTATAACGTTATCAATAATAAAAAATTAATCATAATACAATTTATCTTAGAAAATAAAATCTACATATTTAAATAAATGAAAGTCAGTGATGAAAAGTCCTATGTAGCTTAACTTAGCAGTCAAAATATTACAACAAGTACCAGTATTCAAAACAAAAAGCAGACAATGCCACTTGAATTTTAAAATTTCTTTGATTTAAAATGAAAAATAGTAATTTAGAGCCTTGTTTTACTTAAGGTAAGTGGAAATTGAATTAGTTGTACCAGCTGTAGAATTTGAAAGTTATAATGTTATCAATGTAGCTAACAGTGTTTTATATTAACACTAATTTATACCTGTTTAAATTTTATCTTATATAATATAGACATTACTTCAAAAAAGAAGATTACATCCTACACGTCATGCATATTAAACAATAATTTAAACTCTGCCAAGTCACTGCTCAAGCAACCCATTCCATGCTCTAATAGCACTAGGGAAGATGTAGCATTTGTACAAATTTGTCCAAGCTTATGGAACGAGCAATCTTTGTGTCTTTCTGAGTATTTGATTAGATTTTGTTTATGTATTTAAATATTGTATGAATGATGGACAATTTAAAAGTTTCTTTTTTTTTTATGTTTAACGCTTAAATGTTCTACAGACACTAGAAATCTTCATAAATAGTCAAGCATTTTTTAGTCATTTCAGTGTAAATGGTTGTTATCAATTTTCTTTTAAAGTGGAGATGATCTTTTATATAGGAAAATAATTAAAACATTCAAGCTGTTCATGTCAGTGATTTGCAGATTAATTAGTTGTAATGAAATGGTCATCTTGTTTAAGTTTTCAATTTGAAATGATTTCTTAATATGTAATATAGGAGAGGTACATTAAAATACATTACATGAATTCTTGTAAGTCATAGGTAATACCAAATTAGAGCTTCTAAGCTTATGCAAGTACTAATGAATCAAAACCTCAAAGAAATTGCAAAATGCACAAAATATGAAACACATACAAATATATGAATTAAAACATACTAACATAAAAATACTATATGAATTACATGTTCAGAAAGAAAAAAAATGGATGTACAATCAAGTACGGTATATCACAAAGGAGAAAAAAAAAATTAACATCAATAGTAACACAAGTGCAATCTTTATGAATAGAACTATTCTTTCTATAAGCCTTTGTTCATCAAATGTCTAAAAACAACTAAGCCTACTACCTGGTACACACACACACAAAAGTATAAGGCCAAACTTTGAATTGTACCAGTATCATTCTTCCATCTCAGGTTTGCAAGCTTCAAAAAATAAGATGAAAGGTACAAAAAAGGTATTCTTGTAAGATGGTAAAAGGAACATAATGTAATGACACAAAAGCAAACCCTGTTGTCTACATTTGTTGACCATGATATCACTCAGTCTCAGGTTTGTCTTCATGGGTGTGGCCATTAAGAAAGTCTGATGGAATGCCTGCTGCCTCCAACACTTCTGGCGGTGCAGCCGCAAGGACTTCAGCATCTACCACTAAACAAAGGAAAAATGTTATTAAAATAATTTTCACTAATCCAACATTAAAATCTCACATTTCTCAAATATCAGTACCATGTTTAATAGTAACTAGTTGATAGTTAACACACACACACATATATATATATATATATACCAGTATAGACAAGCCCTAAACATAAAATGAAACAAGAAAAACATAGAAAAAACGTAAACAAAAAACCAACAAAGTTTATATTAAGTGTAGTTGTATCAATTAGTTTGGATATGTCATGTGTTCAGATCTAGGCTAACAACAATAAATTTGAGCAGGTACAAATATTTGTAACATTTGTTTTTGTTTAGCATGATTTCATGCTTGTAGCTTATCACTTGTCTGGACCAGTTGAAAAAGGGTAGGGCGAGAAATATTGCTTTTTAAATGCATTTTTAAAAAACGTGAATGACCTTAATTTGAACTTGAGGACTAAAGCCTCCTCAATCCAATACACTACTCCTCAAGCCAATACATTAACCACTCTGCCAGTGAATTGCTTATGAAAATAAAAGGTTTTATAGTAACTATTGTTAGCTTCAAACTTTAAAGTGGCGACCTACAAAGTATATAGGGGGGTTAATTCAATTTCTACCACATTATCAGTCAAGTACAAGTTCTTGCCATTGTTTCAGATACCAAACAAAATAATAAAATAATTCATTACCAATAGTTAATTAACTAATTGGTTAATGTTTGTTTTATTGATTCATGTATTGTCAGCTAAAAGAAATAATTGTGCAACATCTACGCTTGCTCCAAAATTGGGTGTGGGAGAAATAACGTGTACAAACTTTTTTACCAGACAGGACGAGTTAATATAAGCTTTGTAATGAGCATTTCTTTACTTACTTCATGATTTATGGCAGGGGAAAAATATATACCTACGGGTAAATAGCTATCTGGTGTACAGAATAAAGTGAGTTTTTAAAAGCTAAATAAATCTCCAGAAAGATATATACTAATTCGTCTTGTTGATATTAAATACCAGTGTAAGTTTCTCCACTTGATAAACATCAGTAGGCCTACATATCTTTTAGTAACCTCTAGTCACGTAAGTTAAATGGGTGCAGCGCGGTATGATTGTATTCATGAACATAGTGATGTAACAGGAGAGAGTCATCAGAGAGTGTGGATAAAGTGTAGGCCTATATATATGTATATATATTGATTCTCAACTACATGAGTTGTTTGACTTACTAGCTGTTATTTATTGAATATATCACAGGCAATAAAGAGTCTATTTAGAACTAAACTAGCTAGAGGGCTAGAACTTACTTGGCTTCCCTCCGTGTTGTCGTAACATCATCAACATCTCAGCTATAAGTGAAACATAATCTTCCTGAAGACATGAACACATGGAATTAACTGCAGTGTTGAACGTAGTTAGACTTGAAAAGACTATAAACTAAGCTGTTTAAAATACCCTATGGGCCCCAATGTAAGTCCCGAACGGGAATGTGGCATTCCATTGAGGCCTTTGGAAAGTGCTTTTTTTTCCCCTCTAGACCTGAAACTGGTGTTACAGTATGAAGAAATGTATGCAGTGTCTAATACTGTATATTGCTTGCATTTTGATTAAAGGTTGCACACAAAAAATAATTAAATAAATAAACAGAGTTTGGGGGGCACAGTTGAAATATATACCTATAGATTGAATTGAAAAGCCGAAAGAGTGCATGAAGGACTAATTGATATAATAGATTGTTCTGGCCTGGGCAGTCTCCACTACGGGGTTGCACCTTCAGGACTTTTTGGGACTTGTCCCAGCACTCAAACCATTTTTTTATTTCTACTGTTACCATTTTTAAAAATAGAAATGGTGAATATAGATAACAAAACTATCTTTGTAATACTGTAAGGGCCTACATCTACTGGTTTATTGAAAATATTTCCCTCTTTCTCATACTTATTAAATAAAAGCATTACCATTCTTTTTTACTTGTACAATCACAATTATCAAAATTAATTAATTTAAAAATGACTAAACAATACTAGAATAAATCAATGAGATATCCTGGACAAAACTGACCCTTGATTTAGCTTGACTGAAAACAAATTCTTCCAATTCTTTACTGGATTTTTGTGCCAGAAACTTTTCTACAGGATCTGTAGAAGTACTCCTTGGTTTTGACTGGGTTAATGCTGAGTCACTGAAACAACATGGTGGACAGTGCATTTTAAGCATGTAAAAAATATAAGTGGAAAATTATTAATTATAACACACACATAAGCGTTTTCCATCAAGTCTAAAAGATCTTTTGGGCATGGGAAAAAATTCACTAGTTTCTGCAACTAAAGGTTTTCTGAATTCAAAACTCCATCTTTGCCGGAATTCCAACGCAGGTAGGTATTCTTAGCTCAGTAGTGGTGGTGGTTGGGGGGGGGGGGGGGGAATAATCAAGAAAAACCAAGAGGTTTTAAATAAAACTTGAATCACCAAAGTTGGAGATGATTTATATATAACACAGAGAGTTTTGTTAAAATAATCTTTCGATGCTAACAGAATGGGCTGGATGCATAATATTTGTGTTCTACAAATAACGAACAAGTGTTGTTGAGGGAAGACATATTAGGAACTCCAATTATTACGGTGTTGCATTGACGCGCTAGTGTGCAAATGTACACAAATACCATTATGTTACGCTGGAGAATTGCGGGTAGACTTTGACTTGAACGTGTCAAACATTTCTTAAGAAATAAAGACTACGAGCCCTACGTCCTAGCCCAAATCTCATGTGGACTTTAGAGATGACAGGAGGAGGGAGCCTTCGCAAAGACAGTCCCAAGCGCCTTCCACACGAGCAGGCAGGCAGATATAATCTAGGCCCCCATGAAGAAAGTAAAAAATGATGATGGTAATTGGTAGATTTAAATATCTTGGTACACTGCCTATATTAATCATGAGATCTTAATTTTTTTTTTTTGCT